CGGGTTCAAGTGATTCTTCTGCCCCAGCCTCCCGAGTAGCTGGGATTACAGGCACGTGCCACTGTGCCTGGCTAATTTTTGTATTTTTAGTAGAGATGGGATTTCACCATATTGGCCAGGCTGGTGTTGAACTCCTGACCTCATGATCCACCGCGCCTGGACAGCCTCAGTAATTTTTTTAAAGGGCAGGGACCCTGACTTTTGTTGACTCCTGTGCTCCATGGAAAATCTGTAGCCTTAAGTGCTTTTGATTGAAAACAGATCTTCTTCCTCATACAAAGTCTCAAAGTGCACAACAACAATTATTTATTGACTGATACTGACAGGCCTCCTTTCCCTCTTCACCCCCTCAAAAAGGAGGCACAGTCACAATGCAGTGCTAATTGGGCTTCCAATTGTCAGAAATGTTTCAATATTGAATAAAGGCTTGGAATTTAACACATTTAATGATAACCTGTCCTTTTATAGATTAGAAGTCTGATTCTGAATAATATCATCAATAAGAAGGAGTTTGGGATTTTGGCAAAGACCAAATACTTTCAAATGTTGAAGATGCACATGATGAAGACCAACAATATCACTGAACTAGTACACTATTTGGCAGATGACATAAGGTAAGTTAATTTTCAAAACAACTTACTGTGGAATTTCCTTAAAATCTATCTTTATGTTGGAGGAAAATGTCAAACAGTTGTAGAGCTATTTGGTTGTAATTAAAAGTTCAAAATATTAAATCTCTCATTACTGCATATATCAAAAAGTGAATCATTTAATAACTAAATTTCTTGGAACATGACCTTAGAATCTGACAATTAAACAGGTCATCTGAATCCCCAAATTGAGTGTCTCACAGTCCTGCTCCAAATTCTACAATTTTATGTCTTAAGACAGTTGCTCAGAACATTAATGACTTTATGTAACACATCATTTTTGCTAAGCCTGGTTATCTAATTTTCCAGCACCCACAAGTTTAGAAATAATAAGCTTCTTGGGATAGAGCTGGGGGCGGATATGGAAGCTGAACAGGAGAAGGAAGAAGTGGAAAAGAAAGGGAAGTTCAAGACTGCAGGCTGCAACGGATCCATCCCTGCATGTGGTCTAGCCGTGCTGGTGCTTGAGAGGTCTTTCTTTCTCGTTACCACTCCATGGAATTCCATCTGCTCGTTTATCTCTTGTGATCCAGCCATAATTAGATATCCTTATTTTTGAGCAAGTATTTTTTGAGTTATAATCGATACATATAATGAACTGGACATATTTGAAGTCTGCAGTTTAGTAAATTTTGGTATATGTATACCTATGAAGCCATCACCACAAACAAGAGAGTGAACATATCACCTCCGAAAGGTTCCTCATACCCTCTTGTGAAGTTGATTACACGAATTAGGTCATTCTTATAATACCTAAATACATCAGAGTAGAGGGGGCCCATGGAAAAAGCACTCATAGTACAAAAGATTTCTCCAAAAATGTAATTCTGGCCAGGTGGGTGGCTCACGCCTGTAATGCCAACACTTTGGGAGGCTGAGACAGGTGGATCACCCAAAGTCAGGGATTCGAGACCAGCCTAGCCAACATGGTGAAACCCCATCTCTACAAAAAATACAAATATTAGCCAGGCATGGTGGTGCATGCCTGTAATCCCAGCTACTCAGGAGGCTGAGGTGGGAGATTCACTTGAACCTGGGAGTTGGAGATTGCAGTGAGCTGAGATATAATTCACTACAAACCTGACTGCTGAAACTGTCTGTTGTAACCTGAGACCAGTTTTGTCTATAGCTGCTGAGATAATTTGCTACATCTCTAGGACTAATTTTGCTCACCACTGTCACCCACCAGTCAGCTTGCCAGCTCCCCAAACCCTTACCTAATGCCTGTAAACTTTCTTAAAGAACAATATGTGGCCGGGTGCGGTGGCTCACGCCTGTAATTCCAGCACTTTGGGAGGCCGAAACAGGTGGATCACTTGAGTTTGAGACCAGCCTGGCCAACATGGTGAAACCCCATCTCTACTAAAAATACAAAAAACTAGCCGAGTATGGTGGTGGGCGCCTGTAATCCCAGCTACTTCCGGTGGAAGAATTGCTTGAACCTGGGAGGTGGAGGCTTGCAGTGAGCCGAGATCATGCCATTGCACTCCAGCCTGGGCAACAAGAGAGAAACTATATCTCTCTCTCTCTTTCTCACACACACACACGCGCGCACACACACACACAATATGTAACATGTCTCTCTTTCATAGAGATTGGTCTCTACATTTTAATTTTGACTTCAATGCCTCTTTTTCTTTCTTTTTGAGACAGGATCTTGCTTTGTCACCCAGGCTGGACTGCAGTGGCACAAACATGGCTGACTTCTGCCTCAACCTCCTGGGTTCAAGCGATCCTCCTACCTCAGCCTCCAGAGTCACTGAGATTATAAGCGCCCAATACCACACCTGGCTAATGTTATGTTTTTTTGTAGAGACAGGGTTTTGCCGTGTTTCCCAGGCTGGTCTCAAACTCCTGGACCTAAGCCGTCTGCACACCTTGGCCTCCCTGAGTGCTGGAATTGTTGGCACGAGCTGCTGTGCCTGGCCTAACACTTCTTTTTCTTTTCGATTCTGTAGTTTAGATGAAGCTTCAGTCTTGATAACTGAATATTCAAAGCATTGCGGGAAACCTGTGCCTCCAGATGCTGCTCCCTGTGAAATTCTGAAGGTAAGGCTAACGGAGAGTTCTTAGGTTCTAACCTGACACTGTTTATATTTGTAGGCTATTGAAATCAACCAGCCTTTTCTAGTGTTTGGGAGGTAAATGTATTTTTATGTGTAAATTGTTGTTTTTATATTTTACTTTTTGTGTTAGAGAGTTCTAAACTAGAAATCAAGAGGCCACAGTTCTAATCTCAGCTTGTCCCTATAGGCAACAAGGCCTAGTGTGAGCTTAGTCTTCAGATCTGGACCCCATGGTCTCTCAGGTGCTTTCCAGCATTACCATTACTCATAAGGTGGTGTTTTTAATATTGAAGTGGGTGAAAACCTGATTTCTAAAAGGTGTTGATTACTGTCATGCTTGGGTATTAATTACTTTTTAGATTAATTATTCATCTTTAATTACCTAAAACATATGTTCACTATAAAGAAAAGAGAAGTTTGACCGGGCATAATGGCTCATGCCTGTAATCCCATCACTTTGGGAGGCTGAGGCGGGTGAATCACGTAAGGTCAGTCTGGCTAACATGGTAAAACCTCATCTCTACTAAAAATACAAATAAATTAGCCAGGTGTGGTGGCAGGCAAGAGGCTGGAGAATCACTTGAACCCAGGAGGCAGATGTTGCAGTGAGCCAAGATTGCGCCACTGCACTCCAGCCTGGGCAACAAGAGCAAAACTTCATTTCGAAAAAAGAGAAGTATAGAGGAGCCAAAAATAATGATGATAATAATACTAAACTGGTCTCCAGAATCTCACTATCCAGACATAGGATCGCTGTTAGCATTTTTTTGTACATTCTTCCAAGTTTTTTGTATACAAAATGTGCACATAATTTATTTTACTCCTATTTTGAACTTAAGTACCAAGTAAAATTTTTGCTTTGATCATATTTTGGTAGTTTTATTTTTTACTTGCCATTTTTCAGATCAGAATATTTTGGAATATTTTGATAGCTTTAGTAAACCTAAGTATAGTGGCTTATTTCTTCCTTTGGTCCAGATCAGGCATATTAGAATAAGTCCGCATTTTGTTACCTCTCACTAATAACTTACAGGGCTCACCTCCAGTTGCTTCTACTCAATGACATAAGATTACTTTTTTTCCAGAAAGGGAGAATATTGATTCAGGAGACAAATTCATGGCCTTTAAAAATTGTTTATCTCTCATCTGCCTAAAATGCCAAATAGTTTTATATGCAGATTTTTATCTCTTCACTTAAGTCTTTCAGTTCTGTACTTTATTTGACCATTTTTAATTTGAAAAACTGACGTAAAAATCACTTCTGTGTTTCTTCCCATTTAGATGTTTCTTAGTGGATTATAGTAAATCATTGAACCTTTTTGCAAGAAGGACAAGAATTTTGGAGTCTGCTATTAATGGACCATATGTATTACTGTTTTTAAATTGTGCTACTATAGTTATTACAGTTTTTAAATTGTGTATTATAGCTATTTGTCCAACTTTACCCCACATGTAATAAATAAAACGCCTAATATGAGCATAATTGCCCCATAAAGAACTCATGTCCTGAATTAATAAGTCTTTTCATTGACAGTTACTTGGACAATTTATAGAGACTATCAACTGTCTGCACCACATATGAAGGAAACAAAGTACAAAAATAGTTTACTCTCTCCTTCAAGAAAAGTGAGTCCTTGGCTGGGCACAGTGGCTCACACCTGTAATCCCAGCACTTTGGGAGGCCAAGACAGGTGGATCACAAGGCCAGGAGTTTGAGACCAGCCTGACCAAGATGGTGAAACCCCATCTCTACTAAAAATACAAAAATTAACTAGGCACAGTGGCGGGTGCCTGTAATCCCAGCTACTCAAGAGGCTGAGGCAAGAGAATCACTTGAACCCAGAAAGTGGAGGTTGCAATGAGCCAAGATCGTGTCACTGCACTCTAGCCTGGGCGACAGAGCAAGACTTCATCTCAATAAAAAAAAAAAAAGAAAAGTGAGTGCTTATAGTCTTTTTCTTCCATATAAAAAAGTGAGAATAACAGTCTTTTTAATGTTATTCTAAGAAAACATTGGTATAATTCTAAGAAAACATTATATCAGTCATTGGCCAGTCAGAAAAATAAAAGCCACTCTAGATATGCCAAGCAGAGAAGAATTTCATGCCAGGGATTTAGTTATAAAGCTCTTCAAAAGACTGAAAGGGTAGAAGGGGGAGCCAAACAAAAGGAAAGAAGGGCTTTGCAGCCATAGATCAGAAGCTGCTCCTGCCCCTGGCTTAGAGCCCTGAGCCCATGTTTACCATTGAGTTGTTGGAGCTGCTGCAGCCACTGCAGTGCTCAGAAGCCCAGGAGTCTATTCGCCATTGCTGCTGACAAGTTACACTGCAGCTGCCCAAGCTGCCAAGCCACCACCAAAAGAAGAAACATTGCCAGGCATGGTGACTCATACCTGTAATCCCAGCACTTTGGAAGTCGAGGCAGGTGGATCGCAAGGTCAGTAGTTCAAGACCAGCCTGGCCAATATGGTGAAACCCTGTCTCTACTAAAAATACAAATATTAGCTGGCATGGTGGCACACGCCGGTAGTCCTACCTACTCGGCAGGCTGAGGCAGAAGAATCTCTTGAACCCAGGAGTCCGAGGTTGCCATGAGCCTAGATCGCATCACTGCACTCCAGCCTTGGTGACAGAGCAAGACTCCATCTCCTCGCACCAAAAAAAGAAGAAGAAACATCTCTGCACTTTCTCCAACCTTCTAATTTGTACACTGGTGCCAAGAAATAGCAGATCCAACCTGGTAGCCACCTGGCTAAAAGTTTGAGAGCAGTGGTCCGTAGCTACAAATCCCCAGCACTGCAGTGAGTGGCCTAGAAGGGAGTGTGGAGTGAAAAGCCAGCCCACAGAAGTGTTCATTACACCTGTTATTCTGCCTTTGTAGTCTTTTGCCATACTTGCAAATAACTTAAGTGGATTTGATATTACTGGAATCGTTTGTCTTTGTTTTGCCAGTTGAAGAAAATATTTCTTCAAAAAACTCTATAAAAACTCTATAACATCATGATTAAACACAGGTTTTGGAGTAAAATCAGTCTGAATTTGTATTCTGATTCTATCACTTACTAGCTGTGTTGGCCTGAGAGAGTTATTTAATTTCCCACTGTCTTTTTTTTTAAATAAATAAATAAATAAAAAATAAAAAGAGAGAAGCAAGGTGGCCTTGCCCTGTCATCTAGGCTGGAGTGTAGTGGTATGACCATAGCTCACTGTAATACCAAACTCCTGGGCTTAAGAGATCCTCCCTCTTTAGCCTCCCCAGTAGGGATTACAGGTACACACCACGACTTCCTGATTTTTAAATTTTTTTGTAGAGACAAGATCTTGCTTTCTTGCCCAGGCTGGTCTTGAACTCAACTAGTCCTCCCACCTTGGCCTCCCTAAGTGCTGGTATTATAGGCATGAGCACCTCTCCTGGCCCAATTTATTACCATCTTAATTCCCTCAAAATGAGGACAGTAAAAGTATCTACCTTCTAGTGGCAAGAGGTTTGAATCAGTTCATATAAAGCATCTAGGCTGGGCGCAGTGGTTCACGCCTATAATCCCAGCACTTTTGGAGACCGAGGTGGCAGATCACAAGGTCAGGAGATCTAGATCATTTTGGCTAACACAGTGAAACCCCATCCCTACTAAATATACAAAAAAATTACCCAGGCATGGTGGCACGTGCCTGTAATCCCAGCTACTTGGGAAGCTGAGGCACGAGAATCATGTGAACCCAGGAGGCGGAGGTTGCAGTGAGCCAAGATTATGCCACTGCACTCAAGCCTGGGTGACAGGGCACGACTCCATCTCAAAAACAAAAATGCATGTAGCACAGTAGCCCTAAGTGCCAAAAATGCTAGTTATTATGTTTATGTAGGCTTCTATTTAACTAATTGCAAGTTTCTAAATTGTAGGTGCAATAATAAAATTATTTTGTACTTTGAAGGTGTTATACTAAATGTTTCTGAACAATAAGTAGTTTAAAGTGCAAATTACTTAATTTGCAATGATATTTTTAATGACATTTGACCTATATTTAAAATATAGTCCAATAACTATTTACATAGGTCTTACTTAGACTTATCATAAGGATCGTAACAAATAAGAATAGCTAGGCTGGCTGGATGTGGTGGCTCATACCTGTAATCCCAGCACTTTGGGAGGCTGAGGGTGGTGGATCACCTGAGGTCAAGAGTTCAAGACCAGCCTGGCCAATATGGTGAAACCCTGTCTCTACTAAAAATACAAAAAATTAGGCATGATAGTGGGCACCTGTAATCCCAGCTACTTGGGAGACTGAGGCAGGAGAATCTCTTGAACCCAGGAGGTGGAGGCTGCAGTGAGCCAAAATGAAGCCATGTACCCCAGCCTGGGCAACAGGGTGAGACTCCATCTCAAAAAAAAGAAAAAAAAAAGGAATAGCTGGGCTGAATGTCGTGGCTCACACCTGTAATCCCAGCACTTAGGGAGGACTAAGCTAGTAGATTGCTTAAGCCCAGGAGCTCGAGACCAGCCTGGTCAGTGAAACCTTGTCTCTGCTAAAAACTAAAAAAAAAAAAAAAAAAAATTAATCAGCTATGGTGGTGTGTGCCTGTAGCCACAGCTACTTAGGAGGCTGAAGTGGGAGGATCACCTGAGGCCAGGAGGCAGAGGTTGCAGTGAGCCAAGATTGTCCCACTGCACTCCAGCCCAGGTGACAGTAAAGCCCTGTCTCAAAAGAAAAGAAACAAATAATACAAATAAATACACCATAGAAACAATACAATTTTTTTTTTCTCCCCACTAAAGATGGAGTCTTGCTCTGTCACCCGGGCTGGAATGCAGTAGAAAATACAAAAATTAGGCAGGTGTGGTGGTGCGCACCTGTAATCACAGCTACTCGGGAGGCTGACGCAGGAGTATTGCTTGAACCCGGCAGGCGGAGGCTGCAGTGAACCGAGATCTTGCCACCACACTACAGCCTGGGTGACAGAGCGAGACTGTCAAAAACAAAAATGCACACCACCATGCCTGGCTAATTTTTGTACTTTAGTAGAGTTGGGGTTTTACCACATTGCTCAGGCTGGTCTTGAACTCCTGAGTTCAAGCGATCCACCTGCCTTGGCCTCCCAAACTGCTGGGATTAGAGATGTGAGCCACCATGCCTAGCCTGTCTATGATTTTTTTTTTTTTTTTTTGAGATGGAGTATCGCTTTGTCGCCAGGCCAGAGTGCAGTGGTTTGAGCTCAGCTCACCACAACCTCTACTTCCTGGGTTCAAGCAATTCTCTTGCCTCAACCTCAAGCAGCTGGGACCACAGGCGTGTCCCACCACGTGGGCCCAGGTAATTTTTGCATTTTTAGTAGAGACAGGGTTTCACCATGTTGGCCAGGATGGTCTCAGTATCTTGATCTTGTGATCTGCCTGCCTCAGCCTCCCAAAATGCTGAGATTACAGATGAGCCACCATGCCTAGCCACCTGTCTGATTTTAAATGAGGAAAACATGTTCTGAGGCCATCCAAAACTCCAACTAGTCTTCCAAATACCACTAAAACAAAACATTAACATGATACCAACAGTTTGCAGCATAAAACCTGATTTTTTTTAATGCCTATAAATTAAATAGTGGATAAGTTCGTGTGTCATAAAAGAAAAACAAAATCAGACTATGTATGTTGATTCAATTTTCTTTCGCCCCAACAAATGTATATGGTAATCGAACAGTGAAATAACATTGGCTGGGTGTGGTGGCTCAAGCCTGTAATCCCAGCACTTTGGGAGACCGAGGTGGATGGATAACCTGAGGTCAGGAGCTCAAGACCAGCCTGGCCAACATGGTGAAACTCCATCTCTACTAAAAATACAAAATCAGCTGGATGTGGTGGCATGCCTATAATCCTAGCTACTCGGAGGATGAAGCAGGAGAATCACTTGAACCTGGGAAGCGGAGGTTGCTGTGAGCCGAGATTGCACCACTGCACTCCAGCCTGGGCAACAAAGTGAGACTCCATCTTACAACAAACAAGAAAAAAGATGTCAAGAGGTGTGATGCTCAGCCCCAGAGGAAAAGTAAAAAAGAAAACGAAAAGCTGCATGATGGTTGCAAATAACACTTAACAATATAAAATGAGGCACAACTTTATTCATTTATTTATTTTTAGACAGAGTCTTGCCCTGTTGCCCAGGCTGGAGTGCAGTGGCATGATCTCAGCTCACTGCAGCCTCCGCCTCACGGGTTCAGGAGATTCTCTGCCTCAGCCTCCTGAGTAGCTGGGATTACAGGCATGCGCCACCACGCTCAGCTAAGTTTTGTATTTTTAGTAGAGACAGGGTTTCACCGTGTTGGCCAGGATGGTTTTGAACTCTTGACCTCAAGTGATCCACCTGCCTCAGCCTCCCAAAGTGCTGTGATTTCAGGCGTAAGCCACTGCGCCTGGCTACAATGAAGTGAAACTTTAAATCTCACAGGAGAACTTCTGCCATACTCAGTTGAAATAGTCAAAGCCCACCCAGAATCAAGAGAGGGGGCATA